CATTGGGGAGAGAAAAGGGGGAAAAAACCTTGGGAGAAAACAGGCCCTTTTTTAAAAAAAAAAAAAAAAAAAAAAAAAAATACAGTAAAACAGTGATATTGTGAAATATTATTAAAATTTTAAATATCTGTATTCTATTGGAATATGTTCTAAAATGTCATTTATTCCCGTGATGGCAAAGCTGAATTTTCAGCAGCCATTACTCAGAGTGTCACATGATCCTTCAGAAATCATACTAACATGCTGATTCGGTGCTCAAGAAACATTTCTTATTATTATCAATGTTGAAAACAGTTTTGCTGCTTAATTTTGGAAACAGCAATACATTTTGTAAGATTCTTTGAATGGAATGTTCAAAAGAACAAGCCAGCATCCATTATAAAACTCGCAGGACACATATTTTGAAGAATTCACAAGTTTTGAAGTGTGTTCATGCAAAAATACTGTTATAGCAACAGTGTGCCGAGAGTGCACGCACAGTTTGTTTATACATTAATAATAACAGACTCATGCATGCCTAATGTACAACTCTTGTGCAATTGTCTCTACCTTGATTGCAATCATCATCCATCAAAACTATTACTACTAGCGCGACCCTGGTTTTCTTTATCTAAGAGATGTAGTTTGCGTATTATATGCTCATGCATCAGTTGGGTGATTTGAGCTGCCTATCAGTTTGCATTTCACACACATTTCACACAATCAGAAACAGCTTGGGCTGCTCCGAAACAATTACAGAATACGAGAGAGGTTGTGCTTTGAAGCCAAATACACGCTGAAATGAATAATTTACTGAAATCTGGATTTGAGTCACTGTTCTCTCCGCCATCTCTGATGTAATCGTCCGGGTTTTCTTTGCATTAGTGCTGTTTTGAACTGACTGCTTGAATGCATTCACTTACTGGATCCTTGCAATAAAAACTTTCTAGGAGTTTACCATTTTAAAAGGATCTGATCGCAAACAGATTAGCGTAAACAATGGCATCTCTTGTCCAAAAACCTGCTTCTTTTACGTTTTTTTTAAGTATTATTTCCACTGTAATGTATTGATTGAAAAACGGATTTCAGAGATTGAATCTTAAGGTTTTTCTGCTGTCAAACTGCATATATGTAGATAAATTAAATAATTTGCACCAAAAAAAGCTAATTCCAGTGCAGTGCAGGTTAAGGGGCAAATCTACAAGGCTACAGCAAATACTTTTCTTCGCAGTTTATTTGTAGCAGGAATTACAAATGCCATCCACTAATAGTCAAAGCCCGGAAGTTCTTGTATTGGGCCCTTACCATGCATAGAGCAGCTTTATAAACATAAGAGGTTACTCGTTTATGAACTTGTCTTGGAAGAGCAGCTAAATCTCACTTTATAGCATTTTCCACCCTATGTATCCACATACATGCCATCCTTTATTCCGGTCACATCTGCTTGCAATTACACAACATTTCCTTTACCTCAATCCTTAAAATACCAACTTTCATTGTTTTAAGTAACCAGTGGGATCTAATCCTACAAAAGTCCTTTGTTCCTGAAAACTCCCAGAATAAAAACAGAGCAACAAGCCACAGCAGCCCTTTTTTTAATCATGTCTTGGCAAGAATTTGCCTGGTTGTAATTCCCGCCACATCCGATACTGGTTTTAAAGTTTGGTTTAAAACCTTCTCCTGACTCCTGACATTTATTTCACTGGAAAAAAAAAAAGTCAGCGTAATCTCAATGGCAGCTAACCACACAATAAAAAGGAAAAGCATATGGTCCATCCAAAACATGGCTTGTTTCATTGGTTATGGAACATATCCAAAATTGAGTCTGAAGGAAATGTCAATGTTTTGTTAAGAATAAATAAGGTGCAAAGCTTAAAAAGCATATCACAATATGTGAAAAAAGGATCTATAGGACAAAGTACATCATATAAATAATGTTCACGGTTGTTGTTTTTCCTCTCTGTCCCATTCATGTACTCTAAAATAAATTTATAGTGTATTTCTGGCTATTAGTTGCCGTACTTTAACAGTAACTTTTTGCAGTAGTAGTTCTACAATTTACTTCATAACGAACAGGAGCAAGAAATGATATGAACACAATGATTAGTTATGCCTTACTTTAAAGTAATCTTTTAAATAATAAAAATATTGTGCCACGCGCTTTTATTATATTATTTGGTGCCATTTTGCTGTCAAAGTTTATTTTTTATCTAAAATGATGCCTGTTGATTAAGATTAATCACTAAAACCATTTTATCCAAGCGTTGTAACAAACTGTGCTCTGTAGTTGGGATAAAACTAATTAAAAGCAAATTAGGTCCACAATCCCAACCAACACTAATCCCCATAATGGAGACTATTTAAAACTTATTTTACATAACACAGTGTGATAGTTACTTTTTTCCACACAGTAAAACCGAATGCAGTATTATATTGTAGATTACAGCTAAACCCTGGCAATTTTTAGAACCCTCTATTTAGTTGTCTCGGAGGACATTTGCTATTGTGAGGCAAGATTAAAGTCGGCACCAGAAAGATACAGGCTATTTGCACAGATGTAAAGCCACCCATTAGAATTCAGGAATTACATAACACCACACTCTTCACACAGTTAGACCTGACAGGGCTGCAATCATGCTTTTGTCTGGGCCGCCCAATCGATTCAGACTGTAGCTTAACAGAAGGCCCTGAAGAACAGGATCATATAGTGTGTGTTTGAGTACAAATATGTTTTTGGAGGCATGCGCCAGCACATGAGAGACAGAACTACTATGCACAGTCTCTCTACACAGACTACTCTTGGCAGAGCATCTAAAGGTTTTGGTCTTCCTGGTGAAAAGTGGCAGCCCATGCAGGAGGGGGTCTGGGAGAGGAAGTGGAAGTCAGAGGCAGGGAGTGGAGGAAGAAGGGGGGAAGGGAGTCAGGGCAAAAACTGGGCATCCTGCCTGGAACCTGTGTTTTTTGTTTCTATCAACTGCCCATTTAGTACAAGTCCTACACTGTTTAAAGCTCAAATATGTAATGTTAAAATACTTTCTCGACTATTTATAAAAAATAAAAAAAACAATGAAATTGATGGTAAAAAACAGCAGCTGTAGTTGCCAGAACTTCACCTTTAAAAATAAGGTAGCAACATTTTAGCTTTCACAGATTGAATTTTCAGTTACAAAAAACCAACATATTTTTCATTAACTGACATAATGTTAATATCCCAAGCTACTGAAGTACTAATATCATT